GGGTTCCCAGCTGAGCAGGGATGCGGTTTCCCCTAAAACACTGCCCTGTGTCCAGATGGAAGCGTCTGCAAGCCAGTGGGAATAGGTAGAACTATTTCCCACAGCTGGTTTCGAGAATTCTCTGCAAGTGAATGCCATTGTGAAGCCAGTTTTCAGGAACAAAAATGTTCCTGAACCGGTGATACCCGTGCACTGAAAAGGTCTGCCCCTAAGCACTGTCTGTTCCTCACCGTTTCGCGGTGAAATTGTGTATATGCATGCATACGTGCTACAATACACACACATCACAGTCCAACTTAAAGGTATTTATTTTCTAGTGCTTTGATTTTTACTTGTTTGAGACAGGTGTCACGTAGCCCAGGCTGACCTCAGACTTGCTGTTTTGATGGCTTTGAACCCTTCTGCTCCCACCCCCTGAGCGCTGGGATAACAGGTGCTCACCACCACACTTAGCTAATTTCAGCTGTGTTTTAAAGTCATGGAATGCTGCAAATTTGTAAGAAGGAAGAATACTGCAAAGAAATGATCCCCCTCCCACACCAAAAGGTCTTTCTTGGAACCATCCAATCACCAGTCACGTACAGATTCTAGGTCCAGAAGCCCAGTATCTAGATGTGTGTTTCAACACATCTGACTCAATTTCCCTGGCTTTGGAGTGCACCTGTGTCACTACTGAAACATTTTATTTCAGTTGGAAAAAAAAAAGAGAGAGAGAGAACAGGCAAGGCTACACAATTAGGTAAATGCTGATGCAGAACAGAGGCCAAGCACATTTGTTTAAATAACCACTCCCCACAATTTGGTGAGGTGTGTCACAGCAGTTAAGAGTGCTGGTTGTTCTTGCAGAGGACTGGAGGTTAGTTCCCAGCATTCATTTAGACGGCTCCAGACCCAGGGGATCTGACTTCCTCTTCTGGCTTGTGTGGGCACCTGCAACTCCTAGAACGGACATGGGGACACACACAGACACACAGACACAGACACACACACACACACACACACACACAGAGACAGAGAGAGAGAGAGAGAGAGAGAGAGAGAGAGAGAGAATTCTTTTATAAGATTTAAATGGCAATGTCTCCATGCATTCAGCTTTATCAGTACAAACAGAACAACCACAGCGAAACCAAACTTGGGAAGAAAGGCCTTTTTAAAAAAATGTTAATAATGTTTTCTTTTGTGTTCATTTGTGTTTTGCCTGCATGTATGTCTGTGAGAGGGTATCAGAAGCCCTGGAACTGATGTTACAGACAGTTATGAGCTGCCATGTGGGTGCTGGGATTTGAACCCAGGTCCTCTGGAAGAATAGTCAGTGCTTTTAACCATTGAGCCATCTCTCCAGCCGGAAAGGCTTGTTGTTTTAAGCAGATGATTACACTACACAAACTGGGCCGCTCACTGTGCTTTATGCGTTGTGGCTGGATCTTCTAAGCAAAGTTTGGTGAACTTGGCTTTGAGTCTTCCCGTCCTCTAGTCCCTTCTCCCACTCTGTTCTGAAATGACATGAATGGCACATGTGCTTCGTCTCAGCCTCCACAAGTCTCACCCTGAGGCTCCCCTGCTCTCTGGGCTCAGCTTGGGCAAGCCTCCAGACACATTGCATCATAGTGCATAGCTGGCTCTTCAATCCAAGTGGGAATATCAGGTGGCAGGTGGGTTGGTAAGGTGGCAAGACCCGCTCCTCCAGTTTGTCGTCTGGTCTGTTATCTGTATTTAAATAGCCATTTAGAAACAAAATAATTGATAAAATAGACCATATTCCCTCATTTTTGTCTAACAAATGGTCCGAAAAAGTGGGTTGTTCCCATCCCCCATAGGCTCACATATATAGTTATCATAGATAGGATCATAAAAACAAAACAATAACAAAGCCGAAATGAAATAAATAAAACTTTTTACACCTGTCATGATTTGATTCTCATGCTGAATTACCTTCAGTGACCACAATGCGTTTGCAGGTTTCATTTACATCTTATGCCTAGATTTTAAATAATCATACTGCCATTGCCTATGATTCTCTAATCACCATGCTAGTGACCAGCAGCTCTGTTTTCTACTACTTTTAAATATAGTTATTATTTTTAGAAATTCACACATGCACACAATGTATTTGATCATATTCACCCTTATTCCTCCCCCAACTCCTTTCAGGTCTACCCCCATTCCCCACACATCTTAACTTGCCACGTTCTTCCTCTTCGGTAAAACTCACCAAGTCCAACTATGCTTCATCCTTGAGGAGAAAACACTCTCTTTTGAATGAACGGCCCAAAAGACAAACTGTGTTAGTTCATAGTAGAGTCTAGAAACTAGGTTCTGCCCTCTACCATATTTATTGAGAATGGATGGGAATCTCTTTTCCACAGATCTAAGAAAACAGTCAAAGAACAGACTTTTTTTCTGGGAAGAGATAACTAGCAGCAAACACTTATTTAAGTGCTGTGAGCAAACAGAAGGGTGAAGAGAGGGTCCTAGCTTGGGCTGCATACAAGACAGGCCGGGAGCATCAGCAGCTGCTTATGTGTCAGTTTGGCGCCTGGAAGTCTGAGATCAAGGTGGCAGCTCCTTAGCTTCTTCCTGGTCTGCCTATCACTATTGCTGGAAAAACATTGTGGTTGGGAGAGAGTTCAGGTCTCTTCTTAAAGAGTTCTAACCCCATCACTGGTGTTGCAAACTATAGCCATCTTTGGAATCTAATTACCCCACCCTCAATCTCCAAATACAATCACTTTGGGAGCTAGGGCTCACTTAAACAGAGGAGTTTAGGGGAGACATAGATATTCAGTTTATAGCAGATGGTGACTTTTGGGGGGAATGTACTAGTTTAGATGAGGTAGTTTGGTCAGAAAAGGTCACTCAAATAGGTAACATGTGAGGGCTTAGGTTATGGATCTGTTGGTAAAGAACATGCCTGGTGTGCATGAGGTTTGGGGTCTGCTCCCCTGAATCTACCAAAGAACATAACAAGAGAATTTGGACAGAGACAGAAGAAGCTTGGGATGAGCATTACGGACATGTAGGTGAAGTGTAGCTTAGGCAGAGGGAGAAGGAAATGTGAAGATCCTGGGGTCAGACTGCTGCCTGGCTTGGTGGGCAGTAAGGATGCTAGTGGGACTAAGCCTGAGTGAGCTTGGGGGTAGGCACTGAGCGGAGGGTTAGTAGGGCCTTTCTAGATGTTGTGAAGACATCCGTATCATCGGGAATGAAATGGGAATCCATAAGGGGGTTTTCATTGAAGAGTCACATGAGATCACCTTAGCTTCATTTCCTCACAGTGATGGAGGTCAAACCCTTTTGTATGTCAGGGAAGTACTTACAGAGCGATGTAACTATTTTTTTTTCGAGACAGGGTTTCTCTGTGTAGCTCTGTAGAGATCCGCCTGCCTCTGCCTCACAAGTGCTGTGATTCAAGGCATGTGCCACCACTGCCCAGCTGACTCAATCATTCTTAAAAAGATGTTTATCCATCCTTTACACAGACACCTGTTCACACTTGTGTAGGTAACAGCAATTTCCAATATTTACTTTCAAGTTGCTTAATCAGAAACTAGGTGAATCAGATCTGACAATTAATTGTGATTACTTGTGTACTTCAAAAAGAAATCCATAGATTTGCTCAGGGTTTATGCAAACAGCTAAGGAGGAATTAGAAACTGCCCTTAGTTATAGGATGTGGACATTTCAATTATTTCTAGGACATTCCATGGTTGAAAGTAAATACAGATGAATACCAAGTTCTGTGAAAGGTAAGAAAAGCTTTGAGCACTATAATAACACCTAACTCTCCAGGCTTCAGGATTTGTAGTGCTTTTATTTCTTCAAAAAATACAAGTTCCTACTCCTGAAAACACCTCTGGGGTTGCTTTACAAATTCACAGAAGTTCCCTCTTTTCTGGAGCAGACTTGTTGCACAGGGATCGGTGTGTGGTCTGGGTTGCTCTCTCCTCTGTCCTCTTCCAGCCATCCCCACCATAGTCACCTGTCCCTATCTATGTCCCCACCAACAGCAGACAGAGACCGGTGACTGCTTTTGTCAGATCCATTGAGGCATAATTCACACCATACACCTTTCACCTATTTAGAATTTGCTATTTTCAGTACACTCACAGTTTTGAAATTACCCTTACCATCTAATTTTAGAATAATTTTCTCCCCAAAGACAATCTGAGAGAGCATCCCTCATTGTGGAATGGGCTTCCAAAGTCCATTTGTATGCCAGGGATGAATACTGATCTACTACCCAAGGCCCCATAGATTGCCTAGGCCTCCTCACTGATACCCACATTCAGGGGGTCTGGATCAGTCCCATGCTGTTCTCTCAGTCATCAGTCTGGGGTCCAAGATCTCCTCCTTGTTCAGGTCAGCTGTTTCTGTGGGTTTCACAAGCCAGGTCTTGACCCCTTTGCTCATCAGTCCTCCCTCTCTGCAACTGGGTTCCAGGAGTTCAGTTCAGTGTTTAGCTGTGGGTGTCTGCCTCTGCTTCCATCAGCCACTGGATGAAGGCTCTAGGATGGCATATAAGATAGTCCTCAATCTCATTATCGGGGAAGGGCATTTAAGGTAGCCTCTCCACTATTGCTTAGTTTGCCAGTCGGTGTCATCCTTGTAGATCTCTGGAAATCTCTCTAGTGCCAGATTTCTCCTCAAACCTATAATGGCTCCCTCTATTGTAGTGTCTCTCATGCTGCTCTCCTCTATTCTTCCCCAGACTCAATCTTCCTGCTCCCCCATGTCCTCCTCTCACCTCCTCTTCTTCCCCTCTCTCCTTCCCAGCTCTCCCCTCCCCCATACTTCCAATCCCCTTAGGAGATCCTGTCCCATTCCCCTTCTCTGGGGTACCTTGCATATCTCTCTTAGGGTTCTCCCTGTTTCCCAGACTCTCTGCTGTGGGATTGTAGGCTGGCACTCCCTTGATCCATGTCTAAAATCCATAAATGAGTACATAACATGTTTGTCTTTTTGTGACTGGGTTACCTCACTCAGGATAGTTTCTTCTAGTGTCATCCATTTGCCTGCAAATTTCAAGATTCCATTGTTTTTTTTTTTCTGCTGAGTAGTACTCCGGTCTAGTATCTTCTTAATGTCTTTGGCACTAGGAGAGGAGTTGCCCCCAAGGGCGGCAAGGAAGGAAGAGGCATGTTGGCTGCTGTGGACAGGTCTCATGCGTGCGACCTCATCGGCGTCTGGCAGCGAAAAAGCTCAGTTCTATTTCTTTTTTCATCACACCTAAAAATATTTGTATGGTGAAAATATTTTAGATTCTTGTCAACTGCTTTTTTTCTATGAGATAATGCATATTTTTGTCTTTTGTGCTATTATTGTTACCTTGTCAGGTCCAGAGATTCTTGATATAAGTCAAGTCAATCAGAAATTCTATTTCATTTATTTATTTATCAGAAAACTACACTTAGGACTGAGGGGCTGAGAGATTTGTAGCCATTTTGATGAGTCTAAGATCAACAACTTGGTAGCATAGAACTTTGGAGGTGAGCGTCATTTTGGAAGGGGACTGCGGTGGAACGTCCCAGGTAGTGGCCATCAGTGACCAGAGCCCTGAAGCTTAGAACAACTACTGTGCCCGAGAGGAGCAAGCGAAGCCTTCCATGTACGTGCACAGTTGGTTTGTGGGGTGTGGAATGATGTAGGACCCGGCACCGGCAATTAGCTGACATACAGCCTTACTCCTTTCCCCTGTGCATTAGCTGACATACAGCCTTACTCCTTTCCCCTGTGCATTAGCTGACATACAGCCTTACTCCTTTCCCCTGTGCATTAGCTGACATACAGCCTTTCTCCTTTCCCCTGTGCAATTAGCTGACATACAGCCTTACTCCTTTCCCCTATGCATTTGCTGACATACAGCCTTACTCCAGACGTAGGAGCTGCTTTAGGGATTGAATGGCAAAGTGTTGGTGCTTGGCTGAAATAATTGTTTTTTCTCAATAAACTGAAAGCCCTGGGGAGCAATCAATAGTAGCTCTTGTTCATACCACAAGAGTAGTCCGTGCTGTATAAGGTCTCCTAAATACAAGGGAATTTCTAAGAGTCAGAAGCATAATGCAAATTCGCTTTTTCATGCTTTTAAAGGGTGTGCACATGTGTGTGAATGAGAGACAGACAGACAGAGAGAGAGAGAGAGAGAGAGAGAGAGAGAGAGAGAGAGAGAGAGAGAGAGAGATTCATTGATTAAAAGGTGGGTAATTTCTTTCTCAGGACAGGGTTTCTCTGTGTAACAGCCCTAGCTCTGGATGCCCTGGAACTCACTCTGTAGACCTTGAACTCACAGAGACCCACCTGCCTCAGCCCCACAAGTTCTGAGATTAAAGGCATGTGCCACTACGTCCAGCAAAAGGTGTGTAGTTTTTAATAGTAATCTTGAATTCACAGGAACATTGAGTGGAAGTCACAGACAAAGCAGCTCCATGTGTCTCTTGACGCCATGCATTCACAGCCTCTTCCATTGTCTGTGTCCCCACCAGAGGGACACATTTGCTGCACTTGACAAATCATTGTTATCATCCCAACTTTGCAGTTTCCTTCAGGGTTCTCTCTCAGCACCGTGCATGGGTTTGGTAAATGAATTCTGATACTCATCTGCCAGCAGAGTATTAGCGACAGTGGTTGCAGAGCCCTGAACAAGCTTTGTAGCCACTTAATTGCTCCTTCTCTTTAATCTTAGGTGATCTCTGGTTTTTCACTGTCTTCATAGTTATACATATCCCATAATTTTATAAAATTGAAATAACATATTATAGCCTCATGAAGTTAGTTTCTTTCATTTAGTAATATACAATTATGTCTCTTTTACGACTTTTTATAGATCTATAGCTTAATTTAATGCTAGATAAAATTCCATTATCTCCATGAACCACAGTTTAATCACTCACCTAGTGACAGACATCTTGACAGCTTCTATGTTGTGAGAAGACTTTTCCTTGCCAGCGCTTGGTTTGTCACCAGCAGTCCCCTGGGCTCTGCTGCGTTGTAGTCCCCAAATAACACACAAGACGCTATATTAATTATGAAGCTGTTGGCCTTGCTTGTTTCTTACTGGCTAGCTCTGACTTAAGTATTTATCCCTTAATTGTTAATCTAAGCATTTCTCTTACTGGAGAAGTTTCCGGGCTTCTTATCCCTATGGCGGTTACATCTTGACTCCCTGTGTTTCTCCTACCCAGAGTCCTCCTGGACTTCTAGTCCCACCTATCTTGCTTCCCTATTGGCCAACAGTGCTTTATTGACATATACACAGGACTTCCCCAACATCTCTTTTCTGTTTAAACAAAAAGAAAGGTCTTAACTTTAACATAGTCAAATTATATATAACAGAAACCATCAGAAACAGGAATCATCCTATATATATAACACACATCAGATCCCATACAGGTTTGCTGGGTCCTCTGGCACAAGGCAATGATGAAATTGATCGTTTATTAATAGGTAATGTGTTGGAAGCTTCAGAATTTCATAAGAAACACCATGTTAACAGCAAAGGCTTAAAGAAGGATTTTTCTATCACCTGGCAACAAGCCAAAGAAATAGTAAGAAATTGCCCCAGTTGCTCATTCTACAATCAAACTCCATTACCAGCAGGTTGTAATCCTAAAGGTATTCACAGAAATGAACTTTTGCAAATGGATGTATTTCACTTCTCAGAATTTGGCAGTTTGAATCATGTACACCATACCATAGACACGTTCTCAGGCTTCCAATGGGCTACTGCCCTCAGCTCTGAAAAAGCTGATTCTGTTATTACACAACTCTTAGAGGTGATGGCTGTTATGGGTATACCTAAAACAATAAAAACTGACAATGCTCCAGCATATGTCTCCAGTAAATTGGAACAATTCTTCAAATATTATAATATAAAGCATGTAATTGGTATACCTTACAATCCCACAGGACAAGCAGTGATTGAAAGATCTAACCAAACCTTAAAAGAGATGCTTCATAAACAGCCAGGGAGAACAAAGACCCCTGAACACAGGTTACATAATGCTTTACTAACATTGAATTTTCTTAATGCTGATGAAAAAGGACAAACTGCAGCAGAAAGACACTGGACTACAGAGAAGACTTCTGAACTGAACCAACCGGTGTATTTTAAGGATGTTATGACCTCAGTCTGGAAACCAGGATATGTGTTACATTGGGGAAGGGGTTATGCTTTTGTTTCCACAGGAGAAGAAAAGCTTTGGGTTCCATCAAAATTAATTAAGATTCTATCAGAACAGAAGACATCTCAGGAGGAGGAAAGATAACAGCTCATCTACAAAATCATATTCTACCATGGGTAAAGTGACCTCCTAAAAGGAAAGAAAATGTTTTGTTTTTTGTCTTCACAGGTAAACTCAGCAAAGAATACTGGACATATAGATTTCTGAAGAAGAATGAATAGCTACCCTGAGGACCATCAAACAAACAATAACTCACTGTGTGGTATCAAAGTCTAAATCTCTGTATATTGTTTTTTATAGTACCCTTTTATCTTTGTTTCTTCATATACTTCAGTCCCCATTCATTTAACTGAAGCTGGCTTTGGAGTTGGATTGACTCTCCTACTCTAAATTCAAGCATATTATTTAAATAAAATTCTGAATTTCTGAATTATATCAAAGAGCCATTGATATAAGACAGAAGAAAATAAAATTAGGGACTGCTATCTGTGGATTTCTTTTTCTGAAAAGTCTAATCTCCTTCATGTTTACCATCTTCCCTATTGTCACCTCTTCCAGTATGCATACATATAAAAGTTAAAATATTTCTTTGTTAACATTAATGTTTGAGTTTTCCAGAGAACAAGGGATTTCCTGACAGCAATCTTCAACTGCTTCAGAAAGAGAATGAGGATTCACTTCCTTGATTCCACTTGATTCGACTGGATGCATCTGAACTGCCCCACATCATCGACTCCACCTGACAAGCACTATATTGGCTTGAAACTACATCACTCGACACAACTCCGGACCAAGGAACTGAAACAGCACACCTTCTACAATCTGGCCAGAGCTTCAGATGAGAGCTTGAATCAACACTAGAACTCCAGTCAGGAACTTCAATCAAGCATCTCCTGCCAAACAGAGGCTGTCTGATCTACTGAAGATTTTGTTACACTAACATTTTTCTTCTCACAGGTCTCCATGAGATTGTCATTGTCCCATCTCAGCAGGAAGTAGTTTTGAGAATTCCACGCCCTCTCTCCCTACTATTGATATTATAGGATACTTTACACCTGTTAGTGTTAGTTTTCAATTATTTTAGAGTTGGGATTGGAAAGAGATGTTCAGACTTGGGTGTTTCTTTCAGATAAATTTAGATTTAGATGGGATAGATGTTTGATACATTTTGTTCATTGACACAAGTTAGTTGTTTTAAGTTTAAATATCCTTTTTAGACTAAAAGGGGAATTGTAGGAGGAAAACAACTCCGCCATTAACCATGTTAAAAGCAAAATCATAAAAACCAAAGGTGTTTTTGGTAATCAAGAACCAGCCAAGGGGGCTGGAGAGATGGCTCAGTGGTTAAGAGCACTGACTGCTCTTCCAGAGGTCCTGAGTTCAATTCCCAGCAACCACATGGTGGCTCACAACCATCCATAATGAGATCTGGTGCCCTCTTCTGGCATGCATGCAGGCAGAACACTGTATACATGATAAATAAATAAATCTTTAAAAAAGAAAAAGAGCCAGCCAAATTCCTGATAGTATGAGTAAGAAGGACAAAGTGTGTACATTGTGTTCGAATGTGTGAGACAGACGTGTACACACCTGAGGGCCTGTAGTGGAGCCTTGAGGCTGGTGTTGGGAAGTCTTCCTAGATTTTCGTCCATCTTATTTCTCTTACCGAACCCAGACCTTACCAGAAGGTGGGGACAGTCTAGACAGTATAGCTAGCCAGCTTCTTCCATGGCTCTTGTCTCTGCTGGAATTACAGGTCACTGTCATGTCTACTTGGCATTTATGGGCTCTGGGGATCAAAACCTCAGTCCTGCTTGTACAACAAATGTTTTACCTGATGACCCATCTTCCCAGCCTTAGAACAACTTACTTAACCAATATAGTGTGGAAGAGTATTTTAACAAATTTTAATGAATCATTGTTTTCTATAGCTATTTTTTTTTCAAAAAGGAAAAATGCTAGGAAGTAAAAATAAGGCATTTCTTTGAAAATCCAGCCATTTGTGCCTTTAGGATGGTGATACAATTTTGAGTTATGTAATCTAAGATAAATATTGAAAGCTGTGGATTTAAAAGAGGACAGTAAACAAAGAATTGAGAAATTGGAATGAAAATTATTTAACTTGAAGGGAAAGCTTAAAAATGGCTTTATATCCCCCAGCCATTGTCTCTTAACCTGTCACTCTCACAGTTTGTGTTGGAGGTGTGACCCTAAACCTTCTCTTCCCTTGTCTCATTGCTCCCAAAGGAAAATTGACCTTTTCCCGAGCTGGGACTCAATCCCAGGGCCTTGCCAAGTGCTCTACCATGGAGCTAGCTCCCCAGCCTAGGACATTCTTGTCATTTTCACTGTCTCCTCTGTAGCTTCCCCTGTTTCAATAGGTGGTGTGTGTGTGTGTGTTTTAAACTGGACTGTGTGGCATCAAATGGAGAGAGAGAGGAGGTGGTGTCTATGGTCACTTTTTATAAACTTCTGAAGGAGCAGGCAGGTGGGCAACTGCAAACTTCTCTAGTGTGCTACTGTTTCCTATTCCCATGAAGAGGAATTTAAGGGCTGTCCTCCCCTGTTCTCCTCTAGTAAATCAGGTCCTTGTGTATAATATTACTGAAAAGTAAACACGATTGTGTTGCAATTATAACCCACTTGCTAACTTGTACTTGCATGGAAAATGTTAACCCAGGGCTTCTGTGTTTACACAGGTATGTGTGCTTACTGGGGCAGTCAAATTGGCAGTGTTTCCTTTAAGAGTGATGATCGGATACCGTGTGGAGCAGCTGAGAGACAAGTTTTCAGTACTACCGTGTAGATTAAGCTTTAAGAATCTCACAGTGACTATTATTTTAATAAAGAATGCAATAGAACTGTCATTGCTACGGTCCACTGACAGTTTTAAGCCCAGTATTGGGATCTACAAAAAGCTGAGACCTCCCTATTTCTAATGATTTAGAAACTTCTGCACTTTAGAAAATTGACCTGAAATAGCAATGGCATTCCTTCACCCACAGCCACCTCACACCCCCAGAGCCCTTCCATTTTAGGACTCAGAATGCAGCCTGTGAATAGTGAGTACTCCAAGCCCTCAGTCCAGTCCTTAGCCCTAGCAAAAAAAAATCTCACGGTGATGCTAAGAGCCCCAGTATCTATTAGTGCACTGGATACATGTATTCAAATTACATAGTCTAAAACTGAGATCTGCTGTAAAAGTTAGGCTTCTCCAATGGTGTAACCATTTTCCCTCCTTTTGAGGCAGGATTTCTCAAGTTATCTAGGCTGACTTTAAACTCTTTATGTATCTTGGCTGGCCTCAAACTTGCTATGCTCCTGTCTCTGAGTCCTAAGGGCTGGGATTACTGTGTGAGTTGGGATAATTTTAGCTTCTTGTACAGTGAGATCATTGCAAACATTTAGGTTGCTTGAATCATATCTTTCCATAGATGATAACAAAACATCCCAGTTTCCTTACACCTTACTCAGCTCAGTCTGAGTGCAGGGTGCAATAAAAACACCTTCGTTAGATGTTTTTCTAGTTCCCTTTCCTATTTCCTTTTATTACCTCCTCCCTCCTTCTCTGCTACCCTTCATTCCTATAGCAGGCAAGAGAAATAAAGGGTCTTTCTAAACTCCCTAATAACCAAAAGCTTATCTTCTTATATATTATCCTAAAAAGAAAGTTTATACTTTTATTTTTCTAGAAAAATCAAGTAATCGTATAAGTTGGAGCCATGATTCTCTGTCTCTCTGTCTCTCTCTTTCACTGTCTCTCTCTTTCACACACACTTTAAAAATATTCTATCACTGATGCAGACAAGGTCAGATTCTAGTCTGATGCCATAAATTACTTAAGAGCCTTAGTAGGTGGTGATGTACACCTTTAATACCAGCACTCAGGAGGCAGAGGCAGATGAGTTGGAGGCCAGTTTGGTCTACAGAGTAAATTCCAGGACAGCTAGAGATACACAGAGAAACTATCTCAAAACAAAACCAAAGTGCTTAATACAGTATCTGATAATAGTATTTGATTAAACATTAAATTTTAGATTTTTTGTTTTTTTTTTTTCAAGACAGTGTTTCTTTGGGTGTATCCCTGGCTGTGTTGGGACTCACTCTATAAACCAGGTTGAACTCAAGCTCATAGAAATCCACATGCCCTGTAAATTTTAGATTCTTTAAGGAAAATGATATTTAGATAAAATTCTCCCTCAGGAGTTAATGGTGGGCTGGGGGTGTTCAGTGGTAGGACCTGTGTTGAGCATGTGTGAGGCTTTGGCTTTGATCCCCAGAACACAACATCACCAACAAGAAGTCAACGGACGTAGTTATTACAGACAAATTGTTTGGTTTCTGTAAGGAAAGGAAATGAATCAAAATGGAAAAAAGCAGCTAAAGTTTATTAAAAAACATCAGCGTTCCTTAGATGTGCATATATTGCACTTTAAGAATCTGTTAAGAGCCCCAAAATCCTGTATAGGCTATTAAATGGAGCTACTGCTTCCTGAGCTCACAGCACCGCCTTCAGGGAAGAGATGTGCTCACCTGGATTTACTCCAAATGCATCCTCATTGGATTGAGTACCTGAAGTGCAGGTGGAGTGTGACCGCATTTGTGTTCATTGCCATAACAACATCTGCTGTGTCTCAGCCTGGCTATGTTCATTGCAGCAGATCAGTCTCTTAGCCTTTAGTTTTAAAAGAATGATATTGCAAAAACAAATCTGATTATAAATGAAATGCATATAATCCCTAATTTGTTTTAGAACACCACACTCAGAAAGTCAGATGTAATGGGATCTCTTTGTCACCAAGCAATTTGGCAGTCTTACTCCACTGTTTATTTATTCCTTAAGGACCTTTTCTATCATTTCCCATCAACAACAGAACATTTCTTTTAGTGTTTGAACCCAAGGATGAACATCCAAGGGACCAGAACGGACTAGATTAAATAACCAGGGGAGGAGAAGGGAAGGAGCAGCCAGTACTGTAAGGGGTTGTATAGTCCTGTAGTGCCCTGGCCTCTAGAGATGCCTCTGACCACTTCACATGCAGATAACATGATCTGAGATGTGCGACAGGTATGGAGGGAACAGGAATTTGAGGGCCTGAAACAAAGAGTTGTGAAGTATCTCCATACTTTTTATTGATCACATGTAGGAATGATATATTAAGATGAACATACATGTTTATTTTCACCTATTTTCTTACTATAAAGTTTAAAATTATATTTACGTGCCTCACACTTTCTCTTGTCTCCAAACCATCAAATTTCATGTTAAAAGGATAAGGAGATCAGGCTGTAATCTTTAGAAATGTCTTAATTTTCCACATAAGGGGATATAGAACTTAAAACAAAAATCAAGGAGAAATGTTTTCTCAAGTATGACCTACTTCATTAATAAGAGAAATGTAAGTGAAATATTTTTCACCAGAAATTATAGAGTATTATAAGTCAACTTTGTTCTCTTTAGAAAATATTTTGTTGTATATGATGTATGTATAATGTATATATGGTATATATGGATGATGTATATATGGTGTGTATATGATGTGTGTGTATATGGTGTATATGTGAGTACGTATTATATGCCTTTATGAAGTGTGTGTGAGTGTGTTTGATGTGTGTGTATGATTTGTATGTGCATGTATATGTGAGTGCTGAACATACCACGTGGGGGTCAGAAGAGAAATTTCAGGAGTTGGTTCTTTCCTTCCACTGTGAGTTCTGGGAGTCAAACTCTGGTGACCAGTCTTGCATGGGCGAGTGCTTTTCCCCACTGAGGATCTCACCAGGCCAGTTTTCTGGATATGTAATTATAATTATAAGAGATACAACTGAATAAAAATAATGGTAATAAATACTTTAGCCATTGACTAATTTCATCTCTCTCCCTCCCTCCTCCCTCCCTCCCTCTCTCCTTCCCTCTCTCCCTCCCTCCCTCCCTCCCTCCCTCTCTCTCTCTCTCTCTCTCTCTCTCTCTCTCTCTCTCACTCTATCTCTCTCAGGATTTCTCTGTGTAACAGCTCAACTATCCAGGAACTGCCTCTGTAGAACAGGCTGGCCTGGAACTCACAGAGATCTGCCTGCCTCTGCCTCCTGAGTGCTAGGATTAAATGCCTGTGCCACACTGTCTGGTGTAGTTACTTAATTTTTAAAAATTAAAAATCACACCATCTTCCCTTTTCCGCCCTTCCTTCAGTCCCTTCCATGCATCCTTAGCTTGTTTCCCTATTGAAACTATGAGCTCTTTTGCTATTGTTACAAATATAAATGCTTAAATACTGCAACACAACCTACTCATTCTGTTTAGCATTACTTGTATATATGATCTGGGGCTCACCACTTGGACAAACAATGGGGAAGCTCATTCCTGAGGAAGACTTTTACGTTAGTTTGTCTAGGGATTGGGCCTGTGAGATTTCCCCCTCTTACGTTAGTTGATCTATTGGTGTTGCCCTTGTTCAGCTCTTGTTCAGGCAGCCACATTGTTGTGGTATCATGGGTGAAACTTCTCTGTCTTTTCTAGGAGAAACAATCTCAACATATTTCCTGTTCCTCTGGCTCTTAGAATCTTTCTGTCTCCTCTTCAGCAATGTTTCCTGACCTTAGGCGCAATTGTGTTGTAGATGTATTATCATTTGGAGCTGGTTACCCCATGTCTACCTGTTCTCTGTATTTTAACTAACTGTGGCTCTCTCTCTCTCTCTCTCTCTCTCTCTCTCTCTCTCTCTCTCTCTCTCTCTCTCTCTCTCTCTCTCTCTCTCTTCTCTCTCTCTCCCTCCCTCCCTCCCCCTCCCTCCCTCCCTCCCTCCCTCCCTCCCTCTCTTCTCTCTCTCTCCCTCCCTCCCTCCCTCCCTCCCTCCCTCCCTCCCTCCCTCCCTCCCCCCCTCTCTCTCTCTCGGTATTTTCGAGACAGGGTTTCTCTGTAGCTTTGGAGGCTGTTCTGCAACTCACTCTGTAGATTAGGCTGTCCTTGAACTCACAGAGACCCGCCTGTCTCTGCCTCCTGGGTGCTGGGATTAAAGGTGTGCACCACCACCCTGCTCTAGCTGTGGTTTCTATAATGATCTTCATCTATTGCAGAACAAAAAGTTTCTTTGAGGTGTGTGAACTATACATGTGTGGACATAAGAATAAATACCTAGGATGCAGATTTAGTAAAGTGGTGGCAGTAGGTTCTCCTCTAGCATCCATGACCTCACTAGTCCAGGATAGCTGGTTTCCAGTACCAAGTGTAAGTTTCCTTCTGTTGAGTGGGCTTTACCCCCAGTTAGATAGCTGTTGGTTACCCCTAAGCTATGGGTGCCACTATTGCACTCTTAGTGTTATCAGGCCATTCTGGTCATCCTTGCGGTTCATATGCATTACAATTGCACTCTCAATAGTTTTGCAGGCTTCCTTCTTTCCTTCCTTCCTTCCTTCCTTCCTTCCTGCCTTCCTTCCTTCCTGCCTCCCTCCCTCCCTTCTTTCCTTCCTTCCTTCCTCCCTGCCTCCCTCCCTCCCTCCCTCCTTCCTTCCTTCTTTTTTTTTGGTTGTTGCTGTTTTGTTTTTTGAGACAGGATTTCCCTGTGTAGTGCTGCCTGTCCTGGAACTCACTTTGGGTACCAGTCAGGCCTTGAACTCGGAGATCTACCTCCTCTGCCTCCAGAATATTGGGATTAAAGGCAGGCACCTGGCATGCTTTCTTAAAAGATTAAATTTGTAGAAGATTGAAAAATATGAAGGCGAGGAATAAATTTAAAAATACTAAAATTTCAGGAAGTAATGGTAACCTCTTTTGCAACTCAGACAATGTGAAGGTTGTTATTCAACTTGTATTTCAGCCCTTGAGATTCACACCAGGCTCCTTAGTTATCCCTCTTTCCATGCACCCTCATGACACACAGTCTCAGAGTCTCAGCTGGGCCCCTTGAGATGAGGGAAGTGGCCTGAACTCAGACAGGAACAGGAAAAGTTGGAACTGTCCTGAACTCCACTATATGGTACCAAGCTACCAAGTCAGAAGTGAGATACTAAAGCTACCAATTTTGCTGATGACTAAGTGCTCTATGGTAACTTAGCAAATATGCAATAATATGTGGAGACGAAGTAGGCAGTTAAGGGAAGAAATTCCATCATTGCTTTAAGTGTGATGACTAACTTTAGTAGTCGACCCCTGGGGAGAGAATCTCTGTGAGGGGTGGTTTACAACAGATTGGTCTGCTTGGAGGTTATCTTAGTTTGCCCTGGGAAGACAGCTAAAACAGACCCCTTTTCCTCTGAATTGCTTTTTGTCAGGACATTTTATCTCAGGAACGGAAATGAAACAGTTAAACAATGAATGAAACGTGATCATCTCTGAAATGTGTTCCATGTAAGTTGAACATCAGACAGGGATACATTTTTCAACTTGAAGGAAATCACAACATGGAGAAAGGCACGTCTCTGTCTAGGACAGTGTGGGAAGCTGACTGCTCACAATAGTCTGTACACAGTGGGTTTATAGAAGTGAGTGCATATACCCAGGGCTACCTAAAGATTCTGTTTCTGACCTGGTGCTTCTGGTTGCTCTTTGATGCACCTGAAAGTGATGAGCAAGGCATCTGAGAGCAAACAGAAAACTGAAACAGAACACATGACGACACTCACAATTCTAACATATGTTGGTGGCATGATATAGCCAAAACTATTTTTTTAGATGAGACTTCTAGGTTGTCCCTAGATATTAGCTAAAGACATTGTTTTAACCTCTGCTAGAGGGGACTGACAATATCATGGTATGCTGGGTTAAATTTCCTCCCTTAAATTGTGCATTGGTGGGCCCAAAGGACAGGATCATAAAGAAAACTGTGTCTTAGAACCACAGAGGGAACTCATTGCACCCAAGGTTCTCTGTACCCAGCTCTCTGTGTGTCTTGAGGCTTCCTAGTATAGTTAGGGGAACAGGGTCTAAAACAATAAGCAGTGTTTAGCAAAGTTAGTAAGGCATTCTCCTGGCATTCTTCTTTGACCCATATACCATATGTTAGTGTTTAATGATGGAATGCAACCTGTGTGTAGAGCACAGGACACTGCAGAAGCACCCTGACCTTTGGAACTCACAGCTGCTCTCTCCCTTTCCCACACACCTTACTGGATGGAGGTGGTAAAGCTACCTATTTTCTGGGCTATTTCTTAGAATTGACTTGCAACAAGCCATCTTTTGGGTTTCTTTTCTTCTTTCAAACAGAAGTTCCTGTAGTCCAGGCTGGCCTTGAATTTGCTGCTGTAGTTAAGGGTGACCTTGAACCAACAGTCCTCTTGCCTCTGAGGTCAAGGTGCTTGAATTACAGGTTTGCATCGTCAGGCTCAGTTGCAGCAAGCCATCTTGAAGGCTGAAGTAGCCTGGGACAAAGAGCAACTTCCCTTGTGTTTGCTGTAAAAGCAGTGGTTCCTCCATGCTAAGCACTCCCCCTTCTAGTGCAATCCACCGTGGGTGCAGGCATCATCTATTTGGGACCCCTGCTCTGTCTCGTCCCTGTGAGATTTAGGAGGCAAGGTGAGTTAATGGACACGTGATGCTTATGTTGTTTTGTCTCTGACCCATGAGGCTTGTGTCTCCTGCTAGCATACATGAAAGCAGCATTAGGCTATTTAATTAGGCTACAAGTGGAATATCAAAACTCAGAACCTGAAATTTGTATTTAAACTATTGCATGTTTCTTGGTTACTTTTTGGGGGAGGGCTTCATTTTCACCACTGTTAGGTGACTGATTGTGATGTCCTAGGTATGTCGTACCATGTTATCAGTCAATCTAGCATTGTGGAGCCATCTTTTCTTGAGGGGGGGCTGTCAACAACATTTGGCTATTTTTGGACTGTGACCAAACAGAAGTAGAAAGCACATTAACTCTGTCTGCTCAGTCTTAATCAGTAACTGGACTTGGGAGAGGAGTAACTAGACCTGCAAATCAAAGGCAGAGCAGGAGCAACTAGACCTGCAAATCAATGGCAGAGCAGGAGCAACTAGACCTGCAAATCAATGGCAGAGCAGGAGCAACTAGACCTGCAAAGTCAACTAGACCTGCAAATCAATGGCAGAGCAGGAGCAACTAGACCTGCAAATCAATGGCAGAGCAGGAGTGTTTGGCCTGTTCTTTTCATCATGGTTCCATTTTATTTCTTCAGAATCATTATCAACTCATAGTAGCTAAAGGGCACTGACAATAACCAGAACCCATTTACAATTGGAGATGTGCTACTATCCAAAGTGGTGTCCCTTACTTTTCCTAGCAAATCTTCTTAGACTGTAGCTTACTGCACCAATCAGAAGACTGCTTGGTAAGTGGAGATCTGGAACATATTTAAATGTGGGCTCCCCAGTGACACCACTGAAAAGTTTCTGCACCCCATAAGCCTCTCACAGCAATCCAAATCAGACCAAATCAAATCAAATTAGAAAAAGCCCAAATTTAATGGATACAATGCTCAGATATGGCTTTCCATTCTCCCTGCCCCACCCCACCACAGGGGATGGGAAAAAGAGACTGGAAAACCATGTGTCTATTTTCTGGGGGATAGTTTAAATATCCTATGGGAGTGACCTTGAGCATCTCTGGGGAGAGGTCATCATTTTGTGGGCTTTCTGAGATGCAGCAGGATTTGGAGAGAGATAGGGGAGGGGGCTTGGGATGGAACTTGCACCAGAACATTCCAGATCTTTGGGTATATGGATGTCAGGGGCTGGGTGAAGCATCCACCATACCAATGATCATTATTGTACTAGCACAGCCAGATGGATTCCTCTGACTTAGTATATTTTATTTAAAGAATTGGGC